GATGAATCATCTTTTTTGCTATCCTGTAATTTCGACAATATTCGGTAGCGTGTGATTTCTAGGCCAACCACTTTGTACCATATGTTTCGGAAATCTGCTAGTAGCTTACACTCATCCAAATAATATGATGTTAAATATTGTTCTAAGGACATTGCCCGCTTCTTAGTAACTAATTTATATATACTTTCTCTATACTCTATATCAACCTCGGAAATTTCTTTAAGCAATGATGAAAGTTTTAAGCGGATGGATTCTTCTTGCTTAACTAGAGCATTGAGGAATGATTGGTAATAAGCATTCTTAGTCAGGTGTTCTCCCTTGTCGGCATAAGTAGTATCAAATATTTTTTTCGCGTAAATGCGTGCCCCTTCCCATAAATGAGATATGATGGTTTTATCTTTTTTCGGACCATCATGTTGGCTTTTGATATACCCCCTAATCCACTTTTCAGCCGATTTCTGCGCTAAGGCATCTCTTATTTTTGATACCTCATCTTCGTCCATTTCGTCTTCATCATCTTCGTCTTCGTCCAGATCGTCTCCATCCACTGCTTTATTACCATCTTTTAACTTTTTTAAGGCCCCCAGCACAATTTCAGATGATGGCTGGTGTCTATCATCATAGTTTATAAATCGCGCACAGAGGCTAACAACGGTTTTCAGATAATAACTGATATCGATCTTTTTTCCTAATCGCCTCACTACCTCTGGATACTCCATTTTATCTCCTACCCTCTGCGACGAATCATTCTCAACTACAATATACTCAAAGCGTTCGCCTGGTTCTGGGATTTCATAAAGATAAGGCTCGGGTGTTAGGCCCTTTTTTATAAGCCGTTTGGCATCCGCTTCTTCACGGGTGTGTCTATCTCGCATTCGTGAAATGAAACGCTGGACACTCTTGTTATTTTTATTGGGCTTCCACACAGCAGTTTTAATCACTCCATTAAGATCTATTTGCTAAATATCTTTTATGGTCTCTTTTAGCACGTCCTCCACAATCCGATGCAAGGTGCGAGTATTATCATTATCCAGCCTCATAGATTCATCCATGACCTTCTTACCCACCTCACGAAAGTGTTTAGACTGTCCCCGCTTTACAATCTCAACCCCTCGAATGAAAAGCTTATTATTAAAGTTGGGCTTACTTGTATGTGGGATGCCGTAGTATTTTTTCTTTCCAGTAAATACTACCGGAAATAAGACTTCCTCATATGCCATTTTGAGATAAGGGGATCCGTTATCTTCCCTGAGAAAGTCATTAACTTCGCCTCGGAGTTTGCTCATTGCCTCCATAGATATTCTCACCATCCCCTCCCAGTACTTTTCCTTCGATATCTTTTCTGAAATGTATTTCTCATCACACTCCCGGAAATATTCTTCTGGACAAACAAGGTATAATGAATCAGTGTCCCCATATTTTACACCGAACCCTTTACTTCTGACAAGGTCGGCAATAAGCTTGATATTCCGCTGGCCAGCTGATGTTACCCCGCCTGCTAATGCTCGCAAGAAGAAAGGAGATCCACTATTCCCGGCTTTACCGTAAAACGTATTCATATACACTTTTAAAGTGAGTTGTTTTGCGTCTAGACAGGCGACAATAAAGGAAACTGAAGAGTATTCAGATTTTAGAGCATCTGTAACGTCCTCGCCCCTTGCTTCCGCCAAACTAATCTCCTTTTCTAATTCTTCTTTTTTATCCTTTAATGGAGCAAGACGTCTTTTTAGTGAATTTCGTCTAATAAGCAACTCCTCTAATACTTTTGGATAAAGGCCTTTCATTTCGGCTTGGTTTTCATGCTCTATAGACCATGTGAGAACATCGTGACCATTGAATTGGAAATTAATTTCATGAAGCTTTTTACCTCTCTCCTTTATAGATTCGGCACGCTCTCGAGATAAAATGATTTTATCAGGTGAGAGATTGTATGTCATGATAAGGCTTGGATACAATGATTTAAAGTCTAAGCCGGTTACAGGTCGTCTATTTTCGAGACCCTTTACCGGTGGGAAAACATAGGCTCCAGGGTACTTCCCTGTTTCCGTTTGTTCACATGGAATTGTGCTAGTTAAAATCCCTTCCTGCCACGCACCGGCACTTAAAAGATTACGCACTTTCATTCCTACTGCAAAATAATGTGAATCATATAATGATATGAAGGCTACGGATGCCACCTCCCTGTACTCGTTAATTGCATTATGCTTTACCATTAACCGCTGACAGCTAATAGCATCGATAATACAATATTCGGCTACTTCGCGCATCTGCTCGGCCGTTGTAGCATTGGTTTCTTTTAATGCCCTTTCATAATACTTAAACATACGATGGAAAGGCATATCCAGCTTGTTATCGAGTTCACACTCCTTTAGGTAATATGCTAAACTGCTCTTTTCGGCCTTAGGATAGAATTTCATAAAACATGGTCGGACATCAATAGCTACGCACCCGGGGATTTTAAGATGCTTCGAATGGAAATCCCTATCATTAACTTTTATCTTATTATACTGATATTGCCATTTTGTAATTTTTTCGAGGCTTGAAGGCTTTAATGACATTTGATTAAACATCCATTCGAAAATCCCTAGCTTTTTCGCTTTCTCTACAATAAATCTCCAGTCATATTGTGAATCGTTAAAACCTATTTGTATATCCGGGGCTAGTAGTTTACAACACAAGGCGAAGGCTTTTAACAGATTTACTTGATTCCCACATATAATTGTGGTCCAGCGAGGGTCTGGGGTGGTTTCAACATCAACAAGACAGATCCGTTTTAATGGATTAGGGTCATCTTTCCAATGAACTGACATGCCGATCATAAATACGTTAGATTCATCGCTCTGAGCAGTAGGGAATTTACCTAGTCCGAGCGAACTATATGTCTCTATGTCCCATGTGAGAACAAGAGTTCGATCCCGTGAAAGAGCTAAGGAGAATAATGGATTATTATAATCGTCCTCACTTGTTGGATTGTAATTATTCACAGAAACTTGGAAGAGATAAGTACCCCCTTGAATATATTCGTGGAAATAATTACTTAACGTTGCCCAACTTGAAAGAGGTAATCTTTTTTCACGGGCTACTTTGCGGTAATAATATATTGGGGTTAGATCATCAGAAGCTGTACGGATACCGACTTCACGAACTGCCTTTAACGCATTATACCGGTCAAATTGATTCCAAGTAATAACACGTATATATGATTTTTTCTCTGTATAATATCCTTGAAGTGGGAAAGCACTAATATTCTCGATCCCAAATTTTGATGTACCTTTGAGAGTATTGGATAATATATTTACTAATCTGGTCTTAAATGTAGATAGTGGCATCTCTTCAGGTACTTCGACATCAAAGAAGAGCTTAATGCCTGTAATTTTTACGACTGCTTTTTGTCCATTAATCAAAGTACCAGTAATACGCAAAATATAGGAAGAGATACCATTTACATATTCGGAAGTATCATCACTAACTTCAGTAGGCATGAAATGTATGGGTTGCTTGCCAGATAGGCTTTGTTGAAGTATAGTGGTCATCCCATTATCGAATTCTGCCACAATATCATTACATGATGGGATACCAGCAAAAAGGCCAGCGCTGTCGTAGCGGAGGGCTGGGGCGGTTCCAGTGCGATCAGTTTGGTTGGAAATAGTTGGTGTATGCATGATGTTAGTTCGACAAGTTATACTATCTCTATAAAATTCGGAAATGTTTAATTAATTTTTTTGGTAGTTGCAAAAAGAGATGTATAGCAGATTGGCAAGAGAATCGCGGATAAATTGATTCTCAGTAGGTGGTATTTAGGGTAGTCTTCTCCGTAATCATTATATAAAATATTGGAAGAAGACTACCCTATCACTAGTATGTGCTCAGGCATATATGACATCTAGAGTAGACAAATGCGCGCTGGCCATAATAGTACATAATGCACCTCCAACCACGGACATATTCTTAATAATGACATTTAGGGTAGGTAAGTGCGTAATCTATTATATAAATATTGGCACTTGCCTACCCTATCACTAGTATGTATCTGGGTATGTGTATTCGGGTAGCCTTCTTTGGAATTATTATATAAAAATCGGCTGGCATATCCCAGTAGTCAAATATCCTGACTATGATCCCTCGAAAGTTGCGAGAAAGTGACGGGAAAGTGACGGGAAAGTGCCCGGAACTCAAGGCGCAGTAAATAAACAATAATGTCGGCCAGTACTATTCTTCATCATAAATTCGGCCAGATCTTTGGTCATAATAACTCGGCATCCAAACTGGCATATGGAACTAGTGAACTAATAGGACTATGCTAGTACTTCACCACTTCTATGACGCTACTATGGTGCCAAAATGGATCCTAAAATCGGGTGACCAAAAATTGGCTAGAGTTATCTTCATCATAGTGCCAGCCAAAACTAACCAATATGTTATACGACGGAGGGTGTTCTGGCGTCGGAACAGTATCACGTGACCGGCGCAGTAAGGCGCAGTACCGGCCAGCATTATTCCACAATTTCGGCCAGATACTTGGATATAACAACTCGGCATCCAAGCTGGTCTGAAACTGGCAAACTACCAGTTCCATGACAGTTCTATGACAGTTCTACGGTAACTACCAGGTCACTATCAGGTCACTGTCATGGCGCCAGGCTGGATCCTCAAATCACATGCCCAAAAGATCGGCCGAAATTAAGGCATAGTGTCAGCCAAAATTAATCGCAGATCTACTGCGCCACCCGACATGATATTTTTTTACTATATTTTAGCATTTTGATGGATAACAAAATAGGTGGAGAAGGAAAGCACCCTCGAATCCTTAACAGGTAACCAAAGAGACACAGAATGGTAAAAACTTCATCATAAAACTTGGAATCCAAACAATTGCAGACAGGCTGAACCTCCAACATAGAATTCAACAACTAATCAACCATAGAACTCCAATAACATAAATTATATTAGAAAACGATTATTGGTGCATAGAACCAAACAAAAATAGGTACATTTCGATTATTTAGTAACAGTAATATTTAGGATATTTAATCACATGATCACAAATAATAAATGGGAAAAAGCTAAAGAAAAGCGGATTCAAAGGGAAGGAATATAGTAAGAAAAATAACTAGGTATACAAAATTGTCACAAACAGGTTATTTAGTTAGAGTATTTAATCATATTTAGGTTATTAACTTTAGATTATTTAGATATATTTAAATTATTTAGTTATATTTAGATTATTTATAGTCATACTTAGATTATTTAGTTATAATTAGATTATTTATAGTCATACTTAGATTATTTAGTTATAGTTAGATTATTTTATTACTAAATGACCTAGTCTAAGCCGTTTATGACTAAATAATATAATTGTATTATTTAGTCATAAACGGCTCTCTTTACTTGTGAAAATATTAAAAATTTTTATAATGAAGGTCTACTAATTCTAAAAAAGAATTCAGTTATATACTTTTTTTCATATATAAGTAAGTGGAATTTTACTTCAACTGATATTTCTAAAGTTTAAAAGCATCATTAATTTCTTATAAGGTTCTTTAAATATAGAAGAAGTTGAGGTAATGAAATTCAAAAATATTACCAATTATCATTTTCTTCAGCTTAATGAAAAAAAAACTTATGAAAAAGCTGGACTACACTTTAGCAAAATATATCAGTGATCTAATTGAATTATTAAATTACATTCTTTTAGCCAAAAAAATATTAGTGTAGTTAATATATTTTTTGAATCAGCTGTGAAACTTGCAAAGGAAGTTGAGCAAAAGAAAGTATATTTTTCTTAATATATCAAGTTTCATAAATTTTTGTTTAATAAATTCTTATGCTATCAATAAAATAAATAATTAATTAAAGATTTTCTAGCATATTCATATATTATTTAGTCATAATCGGTTAGCTTTCTGTAAAAATCACAAAAAGGATATAACCACTTTTTTATTTTTATTGAAATAAATTTTTCTTAATAAATTTAATACCATTTTATAATATTACTTCTTTATTCTTCTAATACTTTCTGATCAAAAAAATTACAAATTTTATGCAATTCTTTTATTTTTAATATAAGAAATCAAATAATGAAAAATTGTATAATAGTAAAGCAATTTTGTATATTATAAATAAACAAATAAATTAATATTATTAGTAATTCTTTACAGCAAACTGTATATTCCATATGCTCATTTATTGTAAATTTATTTTTTAAGAATGGAATAGTATCAAAGTTACCTTGACAACTAATGTAATCCTAAAATTTTTTGGTAAAAAAGTATTTTATACAGTAGATATAATTTTTGTTTTTACTAAATATAATGAAAAGCAAACTGAAGATTAATATAAAATAGAAAGTAATTTTGGTAACTACTAATTAATACCTATTAATACCTTAAAATATAATATTTTTGGAAAAAGCTGAAAACTACTAGTATTTTGCCAAATCTGAAAATTTTGAAAAACAAATAATCAGATTATTGTGAAGTATTATAGTGAATATTTAAAAAATAATGTCAAAATCCTATACTGCAGATTTATTTGAAGAGACTAGAATTGCATGAATATTTCATGTGAAAATGAACTGCAAAAATTGAATCAAATAAGAAGAATAGTAATAAAAACAAATGAAAAATAGCAAGTTGCACATTCTGGTTATGATAAAGATTATAAAATAAGATTATTAATTAATATAATTTTGTAATTTAAGAATTTAAATATTTTTGTTCATTGAATTCTCATGGTATACATTGATCAGAATTATCTGAACAAGGCGGGTTAACTACAATAAATAAGAATTTTGTACAACATTTTAGATTATCATCTGATATCTTTTTCCTCTTATATAGACCATGGGTAGTATTATCTCCTTCTGCAAATATAAATAAAATTAAAATTAATTAATTTTGCAAACTACAATATATTATCAATTATTAAAGCTTTACCATGTTCAGAATTCTCAACTAAAGAAGTTGTTGGTAATGTTAAAACATTTGTTGCCAGCAACAAAAGTGTGCATAATAAAGTAATAACAAGCAAATTATTCTTCATGCTGAGAATCAGATTTTTAACAAGTAATTTGCGTTGTTTTGAAAAATTTTGATTTTATTTTTTGGAATAGGAAATGAATTTTTTTTTGGAATTTTTGTAAAATGGAAAAATGGAGCATATTTATAAGACTAACTGCGGCAAAATTCGTAAGATAAATAATAACAAGACGAAGTAGTTAAATAACAACAATATTAAACTTATAATAATAGTAAATGACTTATAATAATTGTTAATAACAATATTAAACTGAAGTTTTATTTTTGAAGTTAATGTTTATAATAGAAAGTTAGAAACGTGTAATATAAACGCATTTTTAGAAATTCAATTATTTTGTCAATCCGTCCAATAACATTGCCGATGATGAACTTGAAACTTACTATGGTAGTGCTTATAAAGGTTATAAAGGGACAAAAAATTGAAACTTAATTTTAAATGTCATATTTTGGTTACTAATCTCATGAGGTAAATTTAACGAGCAATTGATTTTTAAAAATATGGTACTATTTATTAATAAATCATAAATGACCAGCCTGTCGCAGTGTCGCACTAAGTGTCACTCATGATCACCTCATACTAATTTTTAAAAATTGCGAGTGATTAGCTGAGTTTATAAACGACCGGGAATCTTCGTTTACTTATTTCCCGGCCTCATATAGATGTTAATATTTAATGAGTAACACGCTCCAGGGGATTACCCATTTATTTCATGGGAAGGGGAACATTAGGGTTTTTTTCCCGAAGGGAAAAAAACTCTATTATTCCCAACTCCCCATGAAATAAATAATACTAATTATCACCAAATGATTCTTGAAATCAGTTACAGATCAAATTACTCCCGAATATCTCTTGTTGATGGGTTTCAGCAGAATTATAATTAAAGCAAAAAACCAAACGTTGTTTGAATTGTTTTACTAAGGTTTACATACAGATCACATGTCCGAGTTTTTTTTTAGAAAATGAGCATTTATTGGAGTTTGGGTTCATAATGATAAATTTAACAATAAAAATTTAATTTTATTACAAAGAGACTTTTACTTAAAAAAATTTCTGTATTTTGTTATTATCCTGTAATGAAAACAACTTTGGAATGTATTGTTATCGATTGCATATTGTATACAAAAGATTAAATTTAGCAAATTATCATTTGAACTTAATTATAGCTTTTAACAATTGTATAACAAATTATCATTTAAACTTTATAGCATTTAACAATTGTAAAACTAGCTTATTTTAGTCAGAATCACTATGTACAGTAGCAAAATGGTAGCAAATCGTATGTATTTCCGAGATCAAGTGTTACATGATATCAAGCAGGTGGCCGATTGCTGAAATTTGACCTTACAAAATGTTGGGAAAATATTATCGTTTGGATACCTTAGAAGAGGCAAGAACGAAACCATGGACTGGAGAGGTGACATGGGTTGTCGATGGGGAAACTGGGACTGTTTATGAAGTTGAGTATTGTATGTATAGAACTGTAGAAGTTGAAATCTAAATTAGTTTATTTAATTGAACAAAAGAATTTTATTTATTTATATCTTATATTTTTACATTTATTTTAACAAATTCAAATTAATTGCTATCGCAATATCTAAACGGGTTTGTACATGGCCAATCATTTGCTTTATAAACAAAATAAAATATAATAGCTTCTATAAGATATATGCTAATATCCAAAAATATAATTAAACTAATAATAAAGAGAAAATTCCTTCTAAGTGTCGTAAAAATAGTTTTATTTGTAACGTGAAATACTTCCAATTCAGCCATTTCAAATGATTCTTTATCAATTATTTTTTTCTTATAAGAATGTTGTTTACTAGTACAATAACTTCCATTAATTGATAAATCTGAATCACCAAATAAAATACATCCATCATTTGATATTTTTGACATAATTCCCTTTTTATGATAACTTAAAATAGGATTTGCTCTATTTGTTAAAGAAAAAATAAAATATTGAGAAATGACATCTTTAAATAATTTAAAACGTAAATATAAACCATAATTAATACCCCATCCAAATGGATTATAAACACCAATAATTTCTTCTGAATCACGAACTTTAATTAAAACAACAATTCGATTATATTTAAATAAATTTTTTTCATAATAATAATTATCAAATCCATCAATACTACCACGATAAATACAATCGAATTTGAAAGGTATATTTTTAAATTGATATCTTTTTTTTAATTTTCTATTATTTCCATTATCAATTCCATCAATCCAACTTGCAATCAATGCTGCATCTTTTGCATTAATGATATTAGAATCAAATTGATAAACTGAACTTCTTGGTGGTAATATATTTTTATTAGATGAAGGTTTCACTAAAGGATTATATTCTTTGAAATGTTGCATGATTTCTTCATCAAGTTCAATTGGAAGAATATTTTTAAATTTATCTTGAAATAATTTATAATTTTCTGGTGACATTTGAAAAAATCGAATATGAGGAATACAATTTCGTAAAGTTTTTTCCATATTCATAAAATCAATTGCTGTCCATTTTTTCGTATTTATATTTAGATTCGGTTCTTTAAAATAAAATCTTTTTTCAACATTATTTAATGTTGGATTTGTGTTTGCAATTCCCCATTTGATCAAATAATTTAAAATTTCTATTTCATTCATTTCAAGATCATCCCGTTTTAATAATTGAATAAGAAATCTTTCATTAAGTTGTAGAAAATCTTTAGATTTAAATATAATTCTTGGATTTATACATGCTAATTCTAATGCTTGTTCTTCAAATCGTTTAAGTTGTTTCTGTTCACTAATAATAAAGAAATCTTTAGGAAATTTCCAAGCTGAATCATTTTCTTTTAAATATTTTTCAAGATATTCTGCAACATTTTTTAATTGTAATTCATAAGCAGCGATTATAACGTAAAAGCATTTCACTTTTTTATTTAAAGTTAATTTTCCAGAATAAATATATCTAATAATTTTATGAAATTTTATTAATAAGATCGAAAATTTCAATAATAATATAATTAATTATTAATAATTTTATACTTACTTTAAAAGAATTTTAAATATTGAAGGTGAAATATTTGGTTCTTCTAAAATAAATAATCCGGATTCATTTAATTGATTTAATAAAGCTAATTGAAAATGAATTGATCTAGAAGATAATACGTTGGAATGTGCTTGGAATTCTTCAATATCATTTTCCTTTCCAACTTTAATTTTTACATCATAATTATTTTTTTTATCTAATAAATATGTTAAATTTACAAATGAATCTGTTGAAATATTAAATTCCATTTTTTAATGAATTTTTTTTTATTTAGAAAGAAAACTTCGCAATGCCAAGAATTTTTGGATGATCAACATCTTTATTTTATATATCATCATTTATTTTGATCATGAGGTATATTACACATTTTTTCAAATATGGATTTAGCATTAGCCGGAATAAAGTTCCGACTGGCGTTATCAAAAAAAGGGAAAGGTTATAGGTTTATCTATTGACTTATTCCTAAAACATTAGATATCACGAGAACCTTAAATTGTAACTTGAATGCAAAAATTTTATTGGCGTTACTTAAATTTAGACTTTTTTCCTAAAACTAATATGGTATTTTCTTTTTATAAAACTTATCAATGACTCACTATTTCTATTTTCTTTTTTTTAAGCCAAAGGCTCAAAAATATAAATCTTTTTTCAGTCGCATATTAATTTGAGCAATCTAGAAGAGAATACTGGAAAATTTCATCTCGATAATATGAGAAATTGAAGGTAAAATTTATTTCACGACTCCTACTCTATTATTATTACTTAAAGAAAATATATATTAACTTACTTTATATCGATGAAAATAGTTAGAGAATGACGTACCATATCCAAGGTTAATCTCAGGACAATGATGAATGAGATTAGCAGCCAAAATGCTATTTCAGTATTACTTAGTATTTTGACGTATGACGTAATTCATTTATTTGTTGCTTTTTTTTTGGTTGTGAATTACCCTTTATACCTTGGATTTTCTTGTGTTAAATTTATTAGGTATGACCATGTCGTAATTGTCGTATGATTTCAATTGACCTCAAATAAGTTACTGATATAAAAGTTTTTGCGTGATATATCACATTCTTTGTAGTTTGCACGATGCATAATTTCTAATAATAGCTATTTATATATTATTGTCTTCAGTCCATTGAGAACTAAAAAGGTTGATGCTGCATTGATTTCCTATCAATTATAAATTTATACATAATCTCATCTAAGGATATGTTTCGAAATTTTGTGTAATCGTGCGGGGAATGCAATTCGTAATGTTTTTTTCAATTTCCTAAAATCCATTTTTCTCAAATCAAGTTTATTTAAAATTGGTTCTCCAAACTTAAATTACGTTCAGTCCATAATTACATGTTAGAAATGTTTCTCATTCATTAAGTTATAGAAAACATTGATTTATTTTCAAAGTTTTTAAATTGTCTCTGTTTAATAATTGCAAAGAAATCATCAGGAAAGCGCCAAACTAAATCGTTTTCATCGTAATCGTAATTCAACAATTGTAATTATAAAATCATAAGCTGCAATTATAATGTATTAGTAGTTATAATAATTCCTTCACAGATTATAATTTTTAAAAAGAATTTTCAAATTATTAGTATTTGAATAAAATATCCAGATTCTTTGGATAAAGGCGTTTCGAAAATGAATTATAATCCGGTGGAATGTTCAACATGATTATTCATACCAAGTTCAATTTTAACGTTAAATTTTTAAAATTTCAAGTTCGAAATATTAGATTTCATTGTTAAAATCAAATTTATTTTAAAAGTATTTTAATTCAATTAAAAATAAATGAATTTTTTCGAATTTAGTCTTTTATGGATATTGTACGGTGTTGTTACTTCGTGACGATAACCAATACAAATGCCACTATTGATATCAATATTGTACGCAAATAAATTATTAATATCAGTATTGTAATGAAAATATCGTTCAAATAAAATCAGCATGATCTGTAAACGTAAAAAGGCTGTAACTATTGAAATTATCCTTGTTGTAATCTTTCGATTACCTCGGAGACTGCTTCTTCCGTGTAGAGAGAGCCATCCTTCAGTCGCCAGAGGGATAGGAAAATCAATAAGAAAAGCTGCCTGTTAGAAAGAAGGAAAGCAAGGGAGATATCTATTTTACATCATGGTTCCGCTGGACTTCACCAGCCGGGCAAAGAATGCACACTCATCAACAAAACTAAAGTATGATATCTAATAGTTATTTCACGGGAAACCGTAGATATCATTGATCATCAAGGCGAAGCCGTGATGATAATGTTGATCACTTAGGTTTATAGCATGGAGACTAACGTCCTGCATACTACTAATAGAATTTTAGCTTATCTTTTTAAATATTAAAACATCATCCATTAAGGAAATCACGGACAACGTGGTATAACGATATTATTCTGGGCACCAGAATCTCGTGATCCTTTTCTTTAACTTACTATATAAACTTTTAAATCCTTCTTAAATAGCAGGTTCAACTCCTTCTCGGGACAATAATGTCTCCTTCTCTTTAAATTCTACCAAGAAACTCTACTTAAGATAATAGAAGTGAGGTTGAGGGATTTACGGTAATCTGTGAAGGAGACAATTATTTGGAATGTTCTCGCAAAATCCGGAATATGAATAATAGGAATAATTCAAATTCACGTAGTTTTTTTTTAGTTGACCGCCCAACTGTTGCCTGCCCCCAGAGTTACATGACTTTTATTTTACAATATTAAGTTTAAATGATAATTTTTTATCGATTGGCTAATTTTTGGCTAATAAGTAAAAATTCTATCTGCGTCATTTATGATATAAATGATATTGCGTGATTAAAATATAATGACATTTTTAGTGCCTAATACATCCATTAATATTTTAATTTTCATTTGATTTTTTTGATTTTCTTATTTTAATTGTTCCTTATAAGTTATAACAACCCAAGATTAAATCATGAATAAAAGTTACTTTAAATCTAAAATTACAAATAATTTTATAATAATTTCCTTTTAATTTTTAGTATCATTATTATTATGATTTTAGTCATTTTACATTATATGGCGTATAATTCATATCATTACGATTTAAGTATTAGGTATGATTAGGTGATTAGGTGATTAGGTGCCGTCATAAACACGTGATTTATATAGGCGTAAAAAAATTTATATCTTTTACGCGAACGCAAATTTTCTCTTTTTTTTTCAAAAAAAAAAAAAAAGTATATTTGTATTAAATTTTACAATGTCACAATCTTCAAAAACTTTTCATAATGATGAAAATTTTTTAAAAGAATTTTTAAAAAGTTTTCATCAAAAAATTATTAATACAAAAGATTTTAATAATTTCGAAAATAATTTAATTGAATGGATAAAAAATTTTAATAATAAAAATGATGATGATGATAAAAAAAATTTTAAAAATATTCTTGAATTAATGAAAAATCATGAACAAAATAAATTTTGGTTTTCAAGTATTATAGGATATTTTTATCAATTTGGTATAGGTTGTGATATTGATAAAAATAAAGCATTGGAATCTTATTTATTAATTATTAATTATGAAAAGAATTATTTTATGAATCTTTTTTTAAAAGAAAATGATGATGATGATGATGAATTTAATAAATTGAAAAAATTAAATATTATTATTGGAAAATATTTATTATCATTATTTTATTATAAAGATATAATTTTAAATAAAAGAAATTTAACAAATAATTTAAAAAGAAGTATAAGTCTTAAACGTTCATCAATTCCAATTAGATTTAAATCACAAAATCAATTTGATCTAAATAAATCAAAAGACAATATGTTTAAAAAAACTATAGAAAATGATTCAAAACAAAAGAATTCAAATAAAAACGAAATTGAAACAGAAGATCAAAAAGAATTTAAAAAATTTTTAAAATCTGCTGAAAAAGATGTTTCAGAATCTCAATATAAAGTAGGAAATTGTTATTATTATGGTAATGGAATAATTCAAGATCATAACAAAGCATTTGAATGGTATACAAAATCTGCTAATAATGGATATCTTTTGGGTCAAAATAATTTAGGCTATTGTTATGAACATGGAATTGGAACAGTTAAAGATTATAATAAAGCATTTGAATGGATTTCTAAATCAGCCAATAATGGATGTGCTATAGCTCAAAATAATTTAGGAAAATGTTATTATTATGGAATAGGTTGTACACAAGATTATAATAAAGCATTTGAATGGTATAATAAATCAGCTAATAATGGAAATTCTAAAGGTCAATATTCTTTAGGTTTTTGTTATAGAAATGGGCATGGAACAATTAAAGATTATAAAAAAACATTTAAATGGTATACTAAATCAGCAAATAATGGTTATGCTGAAGGTCAAAATGGTTTAGGTTTTTGTTATGAAAATGGAATTGGAATAACTAAAAATTATAAAAAAGCATTTAAATGGTATTTTAAATCCGCAAATAATGGTTATGCTTTAGGTCAAAATAATTTAGGCATTTGTTATAAGAATGGAATTGGAACAGATAAAAATTATAAAAAAGCATTTGAATGGATTTCTAAATCTGCAAATAATGAATGTGCTGAAGGTCAAAATAGTTTAGGGGAATGGTATTATTATGGAAAAAAAGATTATAAAAAAGCATTTGAATGGTATTTAAAATCAGCTATTAATGAATGCGCCGAAGGTCAAAATAATTTAGGTTTTTGTTATGAGAATGGATTTGGAATAGAAAAAGATGATGAAAAAGCATTTGAATGGTATTTTAAATCAGCAAATAATGGATGTGCTTTAGGACAATTTAATTTAGGTACATGTTATTATCATGAAATAGGAACAACGCAAGATTATAAAAAAGCATTTGAATGGGTATCTAAATCGGCTGATAATGAATGTGCTAAAGGTCAATATTGTTTAGGTTATTGTTACCATTATGGTGTAGGAACTAGAATTAATATTGAAAAGGCAATTAATTGGTATAGAAAGGCTTCTGATAATGGGATAAAAGATGCAGATGTTGAGATACAAATTTTATTAGAAAATTTCTGGTAAAAATAAGCGATTTTAAGATTTATATATAAAATCTGTATAAAATAATTTACTATACTTAGTTTTATATCAAGTGAAATCGATAATCGATTTATCATAAAAAATTGGTTTTGTACTGGACTCAACGTGATAAATGTATCCCTTGAAAACTTTGAATAGGTACTACATTGGATTAAAACCTTTGTCGAACTTCTCTCGCCCAAAGTAAAAACAAAATATTTGATAGTGAGGACTGCACAAAGTAGTAACTTTTAACAAGTAGAACAGTAATAAATATAATAAATATATTACTAGTCTTTTTCAGAATTCGTGTAATTTTGAGCAAGAATTTCGACAAATAGTGCATTACTCAACTTTAGTACCATGCAAGTATAAATTGTAAAAGTGAAAGAGCGTAACACCTCTCTGAATATAGTTTAATGGATTTGCGTTAGCAAGGATTTTTGCAAATGAATTTCTTAAAAAAAAATTGTTTTATTGTACTAAAGTTATTCCTCCCATAATTGACTCAATTTTGCCACATAATGTAACCTTCAGGCGCTTATCAGTTACTCGATTTTTCACAGAGTTATAACGCTTAGCCGTGCCAACTATACTTCATACTATATCATATCATTATTAAGCACAACACCCATACAATTATTACATGTGGGCGTAATTATTTCACCAAATTTTTGTTCGAAGATTCATATGAAAATAGTATTACACCAATATTACACTGCCGTAATATTTCGGCATGGCTTGAACCTAATTCGCCCCCATGTATTGATCCTACCCATAAATTTATAAAATATAGAGGATTGGAATTTACTTCAGTAGCATTAAGACGTTCTATTAATGATAGAAATGATCCATAGCAATGGTGAAATTACTTCTCCTTGATCAATTCCTTGTAAAAGTTTTACCTTCGTATTGATTGATTGTTGACAAAAATGTAAAATTTCTTTCTATAATACTTGCTAAAAAACAACGCCAAAAGAAGTGATATACGCATACGAACATCATTATAATTATTAAAAGTACCAAAAACTTTTAACATTATAATATCACTATAGTGTGGAAATTTTCAAATAGTTTGAGCATAAAAATAAAAAGTACAATCAATGGACTTGAAGGGTTTTGTATGAGCTCACTCTTGACATCCGTAGAAAGTAAGTTGGGAAAAGATAAATCGAAATCTATTAATAACAAGTAGTAATTATTCCTCGAAAAAAACCAATAACCGAGATTACGGAGATTTATTAATATTTTGCCTATTAGATTTAAATTCCTTAAATATTATGACAAATGTAAACTACATAGATGGTATTTAACCCGTGAGTCCCGTATAAACTGTTTGAGCTCTCTTCAAAAACAATTTATCTTTGTAAAATGTATCAGAAATATAATCTTTGGCAAAACCCTGATTTATTCACATAATATTTCTCAATCAATAACCTCCTGATAATTAATTAATTAGTTGTAATAAGACAATTAAAATAATCCACAATAAAAGTTATAATAGTTATAATAGACTCTCAATAATCCCTTCAAATTACTTGATCGAATTCAGTCAGTTACAAAAATACAATAAATGAAATCTTTCTCCTCGATAAATAATCAAATTTTTCGACAATTCTGAATCCGAAGGCGACCAGGGTAACATAATGATACTGCTGGAGAAAGTTTCAATGGTGAGTTACTCCATCCTGATACCTCCGAATATCTTATACCATTAACTGTAAAAGCACAAGTTCTTTTATTCATATCTAAATGAACAGTAATCATTGCACCCTCTTTAAATGGTGGACAATAATTATTTACCCAATCTCCAGAATTAAAACAACAACCATTGGAACCTAATACCAATCCACTATGCTGACTTCCTGCAAATATTTCATAATTAAAATTTTCTGATGAACATACTCCAACCCAAGCATATTCACAATCTTTTTCAATAATTACATCCCATTTAAAAATACCTTTATTTTCTAATATCATTTTAACTTTAACACTTTGATGAAAATAACAATCATATTGTGCACGTATAACTTTTCCATTATCTTCTATAATAAGTTTTGATCCACATGATGATTTATCCCAAACGTAAGCAAATTTATATAATGATGGTATTCCACGAATATAATTTATTTCTGAATTATTTGATTTAATTTGATGTCGATAAACCGTTACAGTAGGAGTAATTTCTAATGGTTCAATAATATCAGTTAATATTTGAACTTTAATTTGTCCAAAATCAATAAATTTTACTAAAGGTTTTAGTTTGTTTGAAACTTCTTGTCGATTGGTAATAATTTCATTTTCTATTATGATTGAATTTTCATTCTCTAATTGTTCTAAAGTTGGTAACCGTTTAATTAGAGTTATATATGCATCATTAGAAACTTGTTTTGCCGCTAATATAGAACAATATCGAAAAACTTCATATTCCGTTGTTGCAAACGGTTTTTGTTTTTTATGTGTACAAGATAAAAGATATTGAAGTGCCGAAATAGATAATCTTCCAAATTTAATAGTATTTAATGGAATAGTTGCTACTGCTTCAACTAATAAATTAAGAAGATTATTATCATCAGTTAATACCATTTTATCCATAACTTTAGATAACAATTCAGGTGAATAATTCTCTTTATAATTCTCTACTAAGGTATTTTTAACATTTTTTATAATAAAATCTTGAAGATTCAATAATTGAAAATAATCTGCTGCACTAAAAACTTCAACTATATTATCTTCAGTTAAAGTTCCTTTAATTGACCCTGTATAAATATATTCTAGTATAATTTCCATTATAGATGAATTAATCGTTGGAAAATAAATTTGATTCTCGTAACTTTCTTTCATTCCATTATAAAGTAGTCCATCAAATACTTCTGACCTCGCCGCTAAAATTGCTCTAGATCCATATAATTTCCTTTGATCCTCACATAAAATCTCTATATCACTATACTTTGGATTATTTACTAACAATTTTAAATCTTGTTCTAATGAATATCCTCTCGCCATTTTTTCTGTAATAAGAAGAATAAACGATTAATAATAATTCCATTTCAAGAAATTTAAATAATAAAAAAACTTTAAAATTTGTGACACTTGTGTACCCTTTTTACGTCACTCTTAACTACAAATATACAATAATTTCGCTAGACACTGACCCAAATAGTATAAATGAGTTTTTTTTTTTGTTCTAACGGTTAGTACGAGTGTACAAGTATGATTAGACGAACGTTCACCCTTTATTTTTTTAAAAAGGGGCTCCCGTTAACTAAATTAAAATCATTACGATATCACTAATTTTTTCAAAAATTATTGAACATGGACGAGTTTCAATACATTAAATTAATTTTTGGTTTGTAGGTACAGTATTTATTGGATGGTTTTTATTAGCTGTTAATGAATATTGTTAATGCAATTTAGGAAACTGTTAAAGTAACACAAAATTAAACGTTTAAAATACGCTATATCAAAAGTGTAAGATAAATATTGTTATAAACATAGTATATCAAGATTATATATATATATAGAAATTATTAATAATTAATGTTTGCTCTTTAAAATAGAAATTAATTAAATTAATTAAATTAATTTAAAATGGTTTAGAGAATGTAATATACTATTTATAGACAAAAATGTAAAATTTATTCAATATAATTTGAAAATAGTATTGATAGACAATTTTGATTTTCAATAATAGTATTATAACCAGTCACTGGAAATATCACAAAAGGGCAAATTTTTTTTATTAAGGTTGGAAAAAAAAAATTATAGTACAGTATCCTTATTAAATATATAATAATTATTTTGTTTTTTTTTATGCCAAGTTGAGCCACACATTGTTTATTAAATTTTATTAAATTCTATACTAATAATTATAATTAAATTTTACTGATTATTAATTCATAATTCCGGCCAAAATTTTTATAATGCTGGCCAACTTTATAGTGCCGGTCCAAATTAAATTAAAATTGAAAAATACGGTCAAATGTAGTATTATATTAATATATAGCTGATTACTATATAGTCACCTCCTGTATAATCCTTCTTCTTATAAAGGAAAATTTTATATAATATAATTTATAATTAATATTTATATTCTATTTATATTTATATTTTAAATTTAATAAATTTGATCAATTTTTAATAATGCATCATGATTGTAACACCCATATTTTAGCCCAATATATTAAGTATTAATATATTAGAAAAACCTTGTTTCAAGAAATGTAATTATAAAGAAATAAAGTTAATTGTATTATAATTAGTACTTCTAATAGATCAATCTGATCAGATTGGTAATATGGAACAACTTAAATTAATCATTAAAAAACCATTTTTTGTAAATATCTTATGGTCTACATAGCAGTCCAATTTTAATAAACTTTTTTTTATTTTGATTAACTTAATATAATCTATAAAACAAAAAAATAATCATTAAAATCCAGTAATTACTAGATTATGAAATAATATTTTTTTCAGATTTGGTTCAAATCAAATTAGATTCAGATTAGATTACTAAAATCCTAATCTAATCTGAATTTTTAAGAGCACTAATTATAATATATTGACTTAAAAATAAAAATAAAATTTGTTAGTTGTTAACTACCTTTACAAATTTATAATAAAATTTTTTCATTTAATTTTAATTATTTAAATTGAATTTTTATTTTGAAATTAATGTATTTTTTTATTAAAATAATAAAAAATTTAAAGATTAAAAATTAGGCCGCTCCAATTTAATAGTTTGTTTAACATCCTAACTTTATATAAAAATTGAGGGGGAGGAGGAGGTCAAATTAAGTAAACATTTAAAAATAAACATAGTTTTTTCTTTATCACTCAATGCATTTTTACTAAAAATACATCTTGATTTATTACAGATAATGTAATTAATAAGTTTACATATATTACTTTTATTAATTATACCACTGGGAATATTTTCTTTGGGATTCAAATGCACTGGAAAGAAATTCTTTTAAATATTATACAGATCGGTGATGTTATTATAAGTCACGTGATATAACATATGTTTGTTTATTTTTAAAAAATTTTTAAAAACAAGGAGGGTGGGGTACGTTAAACAAACTATTAAATTGGAGTGGCCTTAATACTGTTATAAAAATGCTAATTTTTTCATAAATATCAATTAAATTTTTATAAAAACTAATATGAGTAATATATATATAGTTTCAATTCTCTAAACAATTTTACTTACTAAGCAATAAAAGGTATTTTACTTCAATTAAAATATCAAATTATACTCTAAAATTACTAAATAAATATAAAATATATAAATGCTATGATGCAAAACCTCTATAATAGAGGCACGGCTAAAGCAAAGCTAATGTGGCTTAAAAAATTTTCTGGATTTCTCAGATGTAGTACGTGCAGTAAAATATTTACCTATAGTGCCCAGCTGGCCCAATGTTGAGCTGTAGCTGAGTTTGGAAGGTTCTTCATAGGTGTGGCAAATATTTGCATGAGTCACACAGCCACAAAGAACCAGCCCTGCTACGTCTAAGGTTGCTGAAGAAACTAGGAGGTTTGGCAAGTTGGCGAAGTGCAAAATAGTGAAACTTTACCGAAACTATATGAAAGTCTTATTAAAAAGTTAGCGAAACTTTAGAGAAAAACAAAACCTGATGAAATTTATTATAAATGCTAAAACTGCCAAAACCTTACCAAAACTATAATAAAACTATAGTAAATCTTAGAAAAACTAATCATAGAATTTTGGAGAGGTTTAGGCAGGCAACCTTAGCCACGTCACAATGACACTGTTGTAACAGCTGGGCCACTATGGGTAAATATTTTTCTGCAATGTACTATCAGGAGAATCTGGTACAAAATTTTTGAGCCACTGCAGCCCTGCCTCGCTTTAGCCGTATCCTATAATAGGAACTTAAAAAAATTTAAATAAAATTTGATTTTATGATTGGATTTTAATTTTATAAAAAAATTAAACTCTATTTATTAAAAGGAATTGATTTATAAAATAAAAAAAAGTCTCGATTTTTTCAGATTATATAAGCATCATGTGATACATATATTAACCAATCAGAAATTAGAATTTTATAAGTTATATGATATAAAATTTATATAATATATTTATTCATTATATTTCATTATAAACTAATAAATCAGGTATATGATGATAAGATTTGTATTTTATTATATGCATTTTTTGACCAAATTAAAGTAAAATTACTTAGTTTTTAAATTTTTTCATTATAAATTCCATCTGAACTGTCTTCTAAATATTCATTTGATGGTATATAATTATCATCTATAATATTAAATTGACCTATATTTAAACAACCTTATTCATTAAATCTTTTTTTGCAGTTTTAGAATTTTTTTTTTCTTAGTATATTAAAAAAAAATCTGTACATTAAATGTGACTAAAAAAAATCTGTAATACAAAAATTTAGACTAGTCTCAATTTTGACTAAATTTAATCAACATATTTAAATTACAGATTTTTAAACAGCTAAAACTCAGCCAAAATTTAATTTAGAAAAAAAATAAACTAATAATTTTTAAAGCTAATAGTTAGTGCTTTGACCTGGATGAAAACCGTCATCTGGATTACACAAAAAAAAATCTGGATTATATCCAGATTGATCTAGATTTTAAATCCGAATCAGATAATCTGAATAGAAACTGGAAACTGGATTGGATTTTTTTTTTAATTGCGAGCTACAGAGATGCATAATAGCTCATTAGAATCATCTCATTGAGACGGATCAAATGGCGCTAATTTCATCCTTATGCAATTACTGGATACCGAGATATTCAACAAAACATCAAAAATTGGCATTTTATATATTGCAAGTTACAATACTGCGCCATTTTATATTTTGTTAAATATCTCGACAAATAGTGATCATACAGAGATGTACAATAGCTCATTCAAATCGTTGCATCAAGACGAATCTAATGAGCTTTAGATCATCTTTCTATGACTACTAAATGTCGAGATACTCAATAAAATGTCAAAAACTGCATTTTTCATTTTGCGATACTGTACCATTTTATGGTTTTCCGAATATCTCAGTATCGAGTGATCATAAAAAGATGAATTTAGTACCATTCGATTCATTTCAACGAGACGATTCTAATGAGCTATTGTGCATCTCTGTACAATCACTAGATGCTGAGATATTTAGCAAAATGTAAATGGCGCATTGTCACAAAAATGAAGTGCTGATGTTCAATGTTTTATTGAATATCTCGACATCCAGTGGTCATAGAAAGATGATCTAAAGCTCATTAGATTCGCCTTGATGCAACGATTCGAATGAGCTATTGTGCATCTCTATACGACTACTGGTTGCCAAGATATTTGGTAAAACGTGAAATAGCGCAATATCACAAAATAAATAATGCTGATTTTGACATTTAGTTGAATATCTCAGCATCCAGTGATTGTATAAGGATGAAATTAGCGCCATTCAATCCATCTCAATGAGATGATTTGAATGAGCTTTTATGCAACTCTTCAATCTGCATTTTAAAAAAAATCCAATCTGAATTCCAGTTTCTATTCGGGTTATGAGATACAGATTTACAATCCGGATATCTGAAAAAAAAAAATCTGGATCAATCTGGATTGATCCGGATATGGGTCGAAGCACTACTAATAATCATATTAATAAAAATTATCAGTTAAATTTTTTACTTTAATATAAAAAAATTTTTTTTTAGAAATTTATAATTAATTGTTACTATATATAAGTAGTTGAGTATAGAGGTTCTGCACTATAGTTTTTTTTATAAGTATTAATTATTGAAATTTTATTATAAAAATTAAAATTACAAGTAATTTTAACTTTATCAAATAACTTTACTTAAGCAATAAAATGTAATTTACTTTAATTAAAATGTTGAAATTACATTTTAAAATCATTAAATAAATGTAAAAAATTTAGAAATCAAAAGTTGGTTCAGTTATAAAAATATGTATTTATTCTAATCCTATAAAAATTAAATTATATATAATTTTAACTCTATTGAACAACTTTAGTAGATGATTATTTAATTTAAGTACTAAAATTACGCTTTAAATTTATAAATAAAAAAAATAGTAATTTATTATAGAAATAATGTATTTACCGCACCCTGCGTTACAAATTTATATATATTTTTATGTTTATCATTTGCCATTTTAGGGGGGGTGCGGCGTATAAACTAAAGATTGACATAAATAATTTACAAAAAAGGAAGGATGCTTTGTAACGCAGGGTGCGGTAAATAAATTCACTCTTTATTATAAAAAATACAAATACTTTT